GTACAACTCGAGTTATACACGACCACATAATTCTAAAGAATTGTCATTAAATAACATAATAGATAAATGATAATGTAAGGGTGGAAAATAATATAATAAATATAGTGTAACGCATGGACAAGCTTATGTTATATTTACCTTTAATWTTTTTAAGAACTTTTTGGTGAAATTTTATCGTTGGTTTTACGATTTTGTTTTATATTAACTAATAGTGTAGATTATTTTAGATAAACTTGTTAAATATAAAAATAAAACAACAGAAGCAAATTGAAATAATGGGCTATAGTTTGATTTAGAAGAATAACAAACGAAAGACGGGTGTAAATTCCTTAGCAACATTTTACCATCAAAGCACAGTCATTATTTGAAACCTTTCAAAATTAGTTAGTAACATCAATGTTTCTTGAGCTTAAAACGTCTACCATTATTTTTATTGCTCTAATAAATGATGACTATAAAAAAAAGTTAACAGACAAAATCGTATTTTATATAAATGCATCGTTCTTATCACGTATTGAGGCTTATCCCACGATGCTATGATAAACATTTTACGGTAAAAAATATATTAATAAATTTTCAACAAAAAATGTATCAAAATAAATCATTAGTTAAATTAATCTTTTTGAAAACTTTAAAGTTTAATATTTAAATAATATTAATTAAATTTCAARAAGTCATTATTCATGTTGTTTTCGAAATATAGACGGTGTATGTATTTTTTTTTTAATAGCTTTTAGTTATTCTGTATTAAGTAAACAAACATAATATCATCATAGAAACATAATAATTTTGAACTGATTAAAGTTTATACTAAATAATAAGTAATGACATAATCACTATCATTATTTTTATTAATTAAAAACCTTATTATTAGATATGCATTGGTAGGTAGTAACACAAAAATATCAAAAAAAAAAAACAATAAATGTGATTTTAGACCAGAGAAACTGTATTAAATCTGAATATTACATACTTACATATTTGTAAATAAAAAAAATTAAAAGTTAGTTTATACACTGTATTTTAATATGCTTATAAATTTTATAGCATCGAAAAATAAACTTCGTAAAAAGTGAGGTTAGGTATTACCTAATAATTAAAAATTATAATAATTTTTAATATATATAAAAATATAAAAAAAGATTCTATTTTTATAAAAGTTTCACAAAAAATACATGAATAATAGTTTTTTTTTTTTTAGTATCCAACTACAAAAAGTAACTGTTAAATGATATACCAATATCTGTGTAAAAAAAATGTGCATGTGTAGGTCATAGGTGGTTACGCATTCAAATAGTATAATAAATGCTTTTATTTTTTAAACCCTATAATTTTGACCATCACTCAAAACAATTTTAGTTTATTAATATTAAACTAAACATTTTGATAAGTGAAAAATCATATACTTGTCAGAAAAATATCTCTTTGATTGACAGATAAATGCAATAGTATTCCCAAACCTTGAACCTTTATAAACTTTAGACAGAAAAAAAACTCACTAAACTGTCCGTCACGAGTGTCAATACAAATTCGTTTCTACATACAAGTTCACTAATTAATGGATCCCATGCTGATGGTAAAGGGTTACTATTTCAGACAAATTCACAAATTATGTATAATATTATATTCAATATGTAAATGTATATATACAACACAATATAATGCCCAATATCAACAGAATATAATATTATAATGTATCGATTCAATTATTGCTATATTACGTTTGATAATATATATTCAAAATAAAGTTAACTCATAACAAACTTTAAAACATATAGTTTCAATAATATTATTCTGTTAACGAATGCATAACGAAATTTAATGTTTGAAAATTGAACTCATACATTAAATATAAGAGCTTTTACTTATACAATGTACCTAATATAAAATAACTACATTATATTGGTGGGAAAGGGGAGTGAGTATGATTGGTGGGTACAATATGATATTTTCTGCTTAAGAAATTATTCAATTTTAATAGCTAATAACATATTTACAAATAAGTAGGTACTTACCAAATTTCTTTCTGACCAATTAAAACAATACACCAATTAATTGTTATGTTCATAAAGGTACCAGCYACTTTTAGCTCTTATAATTTAAACAATTACAATTTGGTACAATAATGTCACAAAATAATGGTTTATTGATAAAAAAATTAAATCATTCTAGTAATTAGTTTTATGTTTTAAATAGGTACACATAGGTATTTATCATCGTATACTCGTATATTAATCAAAATAAAACATGACGTTTCAAATATATATACAGGATGTCCCGCTAAGATTTACCCATGTGATACCTCACGAAATTATGGAGATATAAAAATTCTGGTTTTATAATAAGATTCAGGGATAAAAACTACAATTATTTCATTTTTTAATTTATTTTAATGTTTTTGTAAAAAAATGATTTATTTAATTTTAAAGACTTTATTTTTCTGAAAATTTTGACGTTTCAAAATTGTATTTTTATTAATTTCTTGATTTTTAATTTCGAAGAAAATTACGAATTATTTAACACACACTGTAGTGTTATTAAACATGTGACCCAGCGCGCCCTGCGCGTTCTCGCATCTCGTACTTTCAGCGTGCCTGRTTAATCATATTTTTATTTCTTCAAAACTAGAAAAAATATTAAAAATCAAGAAATTAATGAAAATAAAATGTTGRAACGTCAATATTTTCAGAAAAATAAACTACAAAATTGGTATGGTTACTCTTGTTCACAGGTGGACTGTACCTGGACGACAATCCTCTGCAGTGCGACTGCGGTCTACTTTGGCTGGGCCAGTGGCTACGTCGATGGCTCCGGGAGGCGGTGCAGGTGCACACACTGGGCATGGCYGAAACGCAGCTGGCACAGTGGACGGCCCGACGGGCCACGTGCGCGGACCCTAGGAATGGAGGGGCTCGGGTGCCAGTGGCCGACATCTATCCGGAAGACCTGCGGTGCAAGGCGAGCGCGCTGAGTGGCAGCGGAACCGGAAATACGGCGACTAAGACGTCGCATCTTATTGTCTGCTTGGCCCGTTCACTAGCAGTATTCTATCTGGTAACTGTCTGGTGTAACGTCTACTGAACGAACGAGAGATGTCGTCAACTGTTTCAAAACGCGTACTTATGTAAACTGTATAATATTATTATGTCATTGTGTTATCGTATAAAATCGTGTTTTTCATTACCATGTATTGTTGTTAAGAGTCAGTGATGTCCTCAGCGAGATAGGGGGCCAAAGGAGAACTCACGTGGTCATTTTCATTTTTTTTTTCATCGTTCTACTCATATAGGTACTTTTTTCGACCAGCATAGTGTATAGTGTATATTATTATATTGAGTTCAATTCTCCCCCACTCCTATAAATTGGCCTGAGGATGCCACTGACCCTRACTATGCACTCCCTCGGGACTCGCTGCCAGTGATACGTGACTCGGATTGATGACCACGCGTATGTCCATGTGAGATGGTATGGTTATGTGTATGAAATAATCGGGTAAATGATTTTTTAATCCATTTTTAAGCGATAACTCAGTACACTCACTTCTTACCACACCAATGAAAAATTACGCCTGTAGTAAGTTGTAGGTTAGCACTGTCGTTGGAAAAAGAATTATTATCATTTTGTTATATTCTCATCGTCGTCGGTCTGTGTACAGAACTGATCGTTCGCCACGGAGGAAGGGTTTATCACCCAACCCTACTTGTCTTAGTGCTACCTGCACGTACGGGGTAATGGGGTTGTATTTACATACGAGCGTGACTCACTACGACCGGCTAAAATGTGAGCTATTTTCCAAATCATAACATATTTCCCCATTTTTACCTCCGACCATTAACAAACACACATAAACACCAGAAGTCACGTCGTCATATTCCCGATCGTATAACACGCACTGTCCACCCTTGAAGAGGTTTGGTCTGGACCAAGACCCTTGCTGCTCTACCCTAACAACAGCATTGGTGGAACCCCATCCCATCATATTATCGCCACACTATGGCTAAATAAAATTTTAAGGTTTTCGTTTTGTTTACCATCTGATCGCAAGATACACGGTCTCGGAGAATTTTTCATAATGCGTACAAAGTCATCGCTGTGACCCCCATTATAATGGCCTAGTAAATTCGCGAAATAACCATCATTCTGGTGWGTACATATTATTTTTATTCAGTCTTTACGCGGAAAACGCATCTGACGTTTCAAATATAACATGGTGCATACTACATACAGATCCAAAGCGTATGCATTCTGAACAGATAGTTATTATTCCATTATTTCACCACTATCCATATTTTCAACAATRTTTTAGATACTATGAAATTGACTATCATTGYTTATTATAGCCGAAATAATATTACGAAATTCGCAATRATAMAATATTATATGATACGCAGTTTTTTGATTTTATATACCAAGTACAAAAAATAAAATTCCCTCGTATAGGTAATAAAACAAAATAATATTATAATTAATAACAAAATAACTATTTTGTCTCTTTAATATAAAATGAAAAAATTATTTTATTTCGATGGTAAATACCCCTCAAAGAAAGGGTATATTTTAAAGTACATAGTCCTTTTTCAAATAAACGCATTTATTTATTTGAATATTAAAAAACAACTCGTTATATCTGAGTAATGATTGCATCCCGTACTACATGGTTGGTTGATATTTTACATGCGATTTTTATAGTTTAAAATAATGTATACTTATATAAAGGATTTCGTTGTATAATATATCGCAGTTTATTTGTAACATGCAAATATTTGCTTTAGTTGAATTTATTAAATCGGTACATATTATTATGTGGACTGCAAAATATATGCGCTACCGTATTCAAACACGAGGATGATGTCAGATAGATTCCGATTGAACTACGCTTGATACAATTATTTATCCATATTTTATTTCCGTCGTAGAAGCTTWAAACGTGTAGAKAGAGGCCCTTCCGTCTGATATTAATGAAATTTAATGAAAAAAGTACTTGAAAAATCACAACGATATYTAGTAGTTTTATCTATTTTATCTAATGTTTTATTTCAAACTCAAATTAGTTACGGTTGACCAATTCGTATCTGAATAGTTTTCAGTCCTTTGACCGTATTCAAAACGACATATTCTATGTAAAACAAAAAAAAAACAAAATGATAAAAGTGCATCTTTTTTATATCATGAAAGATGAC